AAATTGATGTGCCCAGAAAGATCCTGCAGTGATTTTTGAGGAGGAATTCATTGAAATAGAGAGGAATTTTGACTGGCTAAGGCAGGAACAGGGTCTGAGATTAGCTACAAAAGCTCTTTTTTGGGGTGGGTTTTGATGTGTTTGGGTTCAACACAGGCTGGTAACACAATAAGGGATTTTATTCATGGATTTGCCTTTCTTTTTGTCCTAAAAATCCCATTATCCATCCTGCCACCGTGAAGCTTCAAGGCAATCTGAGATATTTACTGGGAAAAAAAATTACATAAAAATAATTTACAGAAAAAAATTACAAAAAAAGTGACAGAAAAAAATGACAGAAAAAATAATTTACAGGAAAAAATTACAGAAAAATAATTAAGAGAAAAAAAGAAAGAAAAAAATGACAGAAAAAAATACAGAAAAAATGACAGAAAAAAATTACAGAAAAAAAATTACAGAAAAAAATTACAGAAAAAATATTACAGAAAAAAATTACAGAAAAATAACATTAAAAAATGACAGAAATACAGAAAAAAATGACAGAAAAAAATGACAGAAAAAAATGACAGAAAAAAATACAGAAAAAATTACAGAAAAAAAATTACAGAAAAAAAAGACAGAAAAAAATTTACAGAAAAAATTACAGAAAAAAAATTACGGAGAAAAATTACAGATAAAAATGACAGAAAAAAAGGACAGAAAAAATCACAGAAAAAATATACAGAAAAAAATTACAGAAAAAAATTAAAGAAAAACAATACAGAAAAAATATGACAGAAAAATAATTTACAGAAGAGAATTACAGAAAAAATTTGCCGAAAAAATACAGAAAAAATTACAGAAAAAAATACAGAAAAAAATAACAGAAAAAATTACAAAAAAATCATTTACAAGAAAAAAAAATGTCAGAAAAAAATTACAGAAAAATACATGCAGAGTATGGAGATGTTTTTTAATATGGCAAAGAAATTATTTGGTTTTCAGGCTCCTGGAGCTTGAGGCTCCAGCCTTAAAACTGAGAGCTGCAGGAGAGAAGATGAAGGGGAAAAAAAAAAATCCCTTTTCCTACATTTGGCCCAAAATTTATGGAAAAATTGCTTTTTCTGACAGAAGTTCAGACATTTGGTGTCCCCAAAAGGAGGAATTTTGGTAAATGTCTGATTTACTCGATGTGGAAATTCCTGAAAAAATCACAGAGTTGTAAAGGTTGGGAAAAAACCTTTAAGGTTGTCAAGTCCAACCATCAACCACGGCCACCACCAACCCAAGTGCCACAGCCAAATTTTTGGGAAAAACTTCCAGAGGTCCAACAATTCCGGCTGTTTAAAGGAATATTCGTTAGCACTGGTGATGGGGAAGACCTGCTTAATTATTAATTATTAATTACGGATTAGTGCATGGAGGTGCACTATCGGCAGAGGCAGCTTCCACTATCCCAGGTTGCTCCAAGCCCTTTCCCACCAGCTCTTGGACACTTCCAGGACTTTAATCTCACATTTATGTGCTATAAAATTATTGGATTCCTTGTTAAAATTACAATTTTTCCCAGGAAAATGAAGGGATGGCACAGGGATAACGTCCACCTTTGTTCTGTGAAATCATTATGTTCATCCTTGTTAAAAATCATTCTTTTTTCCACCAAACAAATGCGCTACGAAACCGTTGCACGCGAAATGCCACGAAATCATTGGATTCCCAATTAAAATTTCCAGGAAAATGAAGGAACAGGGAATAACGCCCGTCTTTTTTCTGTCTCGTAGCCGTTGGTGGCGACGGGGAGGATCCGCCCTCTCCATGGCATTTGCGCCTCCCAAAAATTCGGATGGCTCCAAGCTCCAGCTGAGCACGTGGACACCCCTGAACCACCAGCTCATGAACGACAAGGTATGTTCCAAGGGGAAAAAAAAGCTGGAAATCAGGGAATCGTAGAATTGTTGAGCTTGGAAGAGACTCATGGAGGTCAACCCAGTTCGACCGCTCAAGGCAAAGCCAAACTGAGGATTTCACAAAATCCTCAATTTCACAAATTCCCAAGCCCTAGGAAAATTTAATTCATTTCACCTGATCCCACCTGGAATTTAATTCATTTTCCCCTGTGGAGGTCATGGGAAATGAAATAAGAATTTGGAGGTTTTGTTCCCCGGTGGAAGTATGGAGGGGTCTTCATGATATATAAAGATGTATAAAATTTAATGTGAAAAGATGGAAAATGCTGATTTACTTATTTAAAGTAATTTTGAAATAAGATTCAAAGTAATTTTTAATTACTTTAAAATTACTTTAATTAAATTAATTTAATTAAAATAAGCAATTTATATATATATATGTATATATATGTATATGTACATGTCTGTGTATATATATATAATTTTTAAATAATTTAAAAATAATTTTAAAGAAAGATTTTGACTTATTTAAAGTATTTATTTTAATTGACATTAATAATTAATTAATTATAAGTATTTATTTAATATTTAGTATTAAATACTTAAATACTTTAAATACTAAAGTATTTGATTTAAATACTGCTATTTAGCCAAATAATTTTATTTTTTTTAAAAAAAAAGGATTTTTTTCATGCCGAAAGCCACAAAATCATGCTTTTTTTTGTTTTTTTGCACCAAAAGCCTCCAGTTTCACCCCAGAGGAAACCGAGTGTGAGTCAAAGGTGGTCATGGGAAATCCAATAAAAACTTGGAGATTTTGTTCCCAGTTGGAAATACAGAGAGATCAGACACATTAAGTCTTTATGTTATAAAATCTAACGTGAAAAGATGAAAAAATATGATTTACTTATTTAAAATAATTTAAAAATAAATAATTTATATATATATATGCATGTGTGTATATAATAAGTAATTTTTAAATAATTTAAAAGTAATTTTAAAGAAAGATTTTACTTATTTAAAGTATTTGATTTAAATACTTAAATACTTTAATAGCTAAAGTATTTGATTTAAATTCTGCTATTTTGCCAATTTTTTTTTTTTTTTTTAAAAAAGTGGATTTTTTTTTGCTGAAAGTCGTAAAATTTTATTTTTTGGGGGGGCAGAGGACTGCCATTCCTTAAAAAATGAAAATTTCACCACTTTCCTATTAATTTTCTCTTGATTTATCCCTTATACCATAAAAAGACGAAGCTTTGTCTCCCGTCTGGATACCTCTGACATTAAAATTAATTTGATTTTTCCCTTGCTCCCTAATTAAACTCCTCTCTATCCTTTTTTTTTCCCTGTGGAAGGACTTTTACCCCACTTCAAGCCAACACTTGAATTCATTTTATTTCTGATAAACTGAAGAGATTGAGCTCTTTGAAGTCCTTTCAATCTGGCAAATTCTCCAGCCTTTGAATCATTTTGATGTTTCAACGTTATTTTTGCAGATACGCATCACTGTATCGCAATAAAGTATGACCTAACCAGAAATTTAAAAAAAAAAATCACATTTTCCCACCTTTTCCCACGTTTTTTTTTTAACTTCTCTCCTCCTTAGGCAGTCTCAGCAAAACTTGTAGGGATTAATATTGGATTGTTGAATAATCCAATGCTTGGTGATGATCCAGGTAGGGAGGAATATACAAGAATATCCCAGAAAATCCCAGAAATGAATATTCAAAAATGAAAAAATACCAGGGATGAACTCAGAATAACTTTGGCAAATGGGGAATGTGGTGGTGTCTTTTCCAACTTTGAAGATTCTCGGAAATTCACAATAAAATATATTTTCTTGTTTCTTGATCCAGGTTTTAAATCACCAGCCTGGCCAAAAAAAAATTCCTTTTTTTATCTCCCTACTTTGCTCTGCAGTGAAAAAAAAAACCAAATTAAAAGAAAAAAATTAAAAATAGCTGGAATAAAATTAGTTCTGACGTTCAGAATCAGGAGATGTTCCGTGAGGTATTTATAGGGAGCTGGAGAGGGACGAGGTGCCATTTATGTACAGTCATGTGTTTGCTCCTCTCCACGCTCCGGAGGCAGCGTGATGAGGAATTTATAGATGGGAGGGATGGGAATTTTTAGATGGAAGGGATGGAAGAAGAAGGAAGAGATGAGATGTGTGAGAAACGAACCCGTTGGAACAGAGAATGAGGAGGGGGAGCGGTGGGAATTCAGAGCTGGTCCAAGGCAGAAGCGTCAAAATTGCACGGTCAGGAGCGGAGCTGGGAATTTATGGTGTTGTAAATTTGCTACTTGACAAATTTTGGGTAATTCTGGGGGTTCTTCATTGGCGCTTCCTGTAGATTTCCCTGGATTTTCAAAGGTGGTAGGAATAACACCACAGAGTTCCAGGATGGTTTGGGTTGGGAGAAACCTAAATCCCGTCTCGTTCCATCCCTGCCATGGTGGGGACACTTTTCACTATCCCAGGTGTCTGCAGCCTGGCCTTGGACACTTCCAGGGATCCAGAGGCAGCCACAAATTCTCTGGGAATTCTATTCCATGGCCTCACCACCCTCACAGGGAGGAATTTCTTCCTAACATTTGGCATTTTCTCAGGGGGTTGGAAAGAGACGATCCTTAGGGTTTGTTCCATCCCAAACCCTTCTGTGATTCCTGAAACCTCCTGGATTTGATGTCCCTGGATCCCTGGAAGTGTCCAAGCCCAGGCTGGATGGGGTTTGGAGCACACTGGGATAGTGGGAGGTGTCGGGGCTGGAACTGGATGAGCTTTAAGGTCCCTTCCAACCCAAACCATTCCACGATTCCACGATTCCTTTAAAGGCAGGATCACCACCAGGGACAGGCCAAAGCCAAGGAGGCAGAACGAGGAAATCCCANAAAACTTCCAGAGGTCCAACAATTCCGGCTGTTTAAAGGAATATTCGTTAGCACTGGTGATGGGGAAGACCTGCTTAATTATTAATTACCATTATTAATTATTCATTATTAATTATTAATTATTTATTAATTATTAATTATTAATTATTAATTATGGATTAGTACATGGAGGTGCACTATCGGCAGAGGCAGCTTCCACTATCCCAGGTTGCTCCAAGCCCTTTCCCACCAGCTCTTGGACACTTCCAGGACTTTAATCTCATGGATATTGTGGCTACACAAAATAACAAGCCTCGCTCTACCTGAATTTCAAATTATTTTTCCCTTTTGTGTCATTTATGTGCTATAAAATTATTGGATTCCTTGTTAAAATTACAATTTTTCCCAGGAAAATGAAGGGATGGCACAGGGATAACGTCCACCTTTGTTCTGTGAAATCATTATGTTCATCCTTGTTAAAAATCATTCTTTTTTCCACCAAACAAATGCGCTACGAAACCGTTGCACGCGAAATGCCACGAAATCATTGGATTCCCAATTAAAATTTCCAGGAAAATGAAGGAACAGGGAATAACGCCCGTCTTTTTTCTGTCTCGTAGCCGTTGGTGGCGACGGGGAGGATCCGCCCTCTCCATGGCATTTGCGCCTCCCAAAAATTCGGATGGCTCCAAGCTCCAGCTGAGCACGTGGACACCCCTGAACCATCAGCTCATGAACGACAAGGTATGTTCCAAGGGGAAAAAAAAGCTGGAAAACAGGGAATCGTGGAATTGTTGAGCTCGGAAGAGACTCATGGAGGTCAACCCAGTTCGACCGCTCAAGGCAAAGCCAAACTGAGGATTTCTCAAAATCCTCAATTTCACAAATTCCCAAGCCCTAGGAAAATTTTATTCATTTCACCTGATCCCACCTGGAATTTAATTCATTTTCCCCTGTGGAGGTCATGGGAAATGAAATAAGAATTTGGAGGTTTTGTTCCCCGGTGGAAGTATGGAGGGGTCTTCATGATATATAAAGATGTATAAAATTTAATGTGAAAAGATGGAAAATGCTGATTTACTTATTTAAAGTAATTTTGAAATAAGATTCAAAGTAATTTTTAATTACTTTAAATTAATTTAATTAAAATAAGCAATTTATATATATATGTATATATGTATATGTACATGTCTGTGTATATATATATATAATTTTTAAATAATTTAAAAATAATTTTAAAGAAATATTTTTACTTATTTAAATTATTTATTTTAATTGACATTAATAATTAATTAATTATAAGTATTTATTTAATATTTAGTATTAAATACTTAAATACTTTAAATACTAAAGTATTTGATTTAAATACTGCTATTTAGCCAAATATAAAGTATTTGATTTAAATACTGCTATTTAGCCAAATAATTTTATTTTTTTTTAAAAAAAAGGATTTTTTTCATGCTGAAAGTCACAAAATCATGCTTTTTTTTGTTTTTTTGCACCAAAAGCCTCCAGTTTCACCCCAGAGGAAACCGAGTGTGAGTCAAAGGTGGTCATGGGAAATCCAATAAAAACTTGGAGATTTTGTTCCCAGTTGGAAATACAGAGAGATCAGACACATTAAGTCTTTATGTTATAAAATCTAACGTGAAAAGATGAAAAATTATGATTTACTTATTTAAAATAATTTTAAAATAAATAATTTATATATATATACGCATGTATGTATATAATAAGTAATTTTAAAATAATTTAAAAGTAATTTTAAAGAAAGATTTTACTTATTTAAAGTATTTGATTTAAATACTTAAATACTTTAATAGCTGAAGTATTTGATTTAAATTCTGCTATTTTGCCAAATAATTTTTTTTTTTTTTAAAAAAAGTGGATTTTTTTTTTGCTGAAAGTCGCAAAATTTTATTTTTTGGGGGGGCAGAGGACTGCCATTCCTTAAAAAATGAAAATTTCACCACTTTCCTATTAATTTTCTCTTGATTTATCCCTTACACCATAAAAAGACGAAGCTTTGTCTCCCGTCTGGATACCTCTGACATTAAAATTAATTTGATTTTTCCCTTGCTCCCTAATTAAACTCCTCTCTATCCTTTTTTTTTCCCTGTGGAAGGACTTTTACCCCACTTCAAGCCAACACTTGAATTCATTTTATTTCTGATAAACTGAAGAGATTGAGCTCTTTGAAGTCCTTTCAATCTGGCAAATTCTCCAGCCTTTGAATCATTTTGATGTTTCAACGTTATTTTTGCAGATACGCATCACTGTATCGCAATAAAGTATGACCTAACCAGAAATTTAAAAAAAAAAAAAAATCACATTTTCCCACCTTTTCCCACGTTTTTTTTTTAACTTCTCTCCTCCTTAGGCAGTCTCAGCAAAACTTGTAGGGATTAATATTGGATTGTTGAATAATCCAATGCTTGGTGATGATCCAGGTAGGGAGGAATATACAAGAATATCCCAGAAAATCACAGAAATGAATATTCAAAAATGAAAAAATACCAGGGATGAACTCAGAATAACTTTGGCAAATGGGGAATGTGGTGGTGTCTTTTCCAACTTTGAAGATTCTCGGAAATTCACAATAAAATATATTTTCTTGTTTCTTGATCCAGGTTTTAAATCACCAGCCTGGCCAATAAAAAATTCCTTTTTTTATCTCCCTACTTTGCTCTGCAGTGAAAAAAAAATCCAAATTAAAAGAAAAAAATTAAAAATAGCTGGAATAAAATTAGTTCTGACGTTCAGAATCAGGAGATGTTCCGTGAGGTATTTATAGGGAGCTGGAGAGGGACGAGGTGCCATTTTTGTACAGTCATATGTTTGCTCCTCTCCACGCTCCGGAGGTAGCGTGATGAGGAATTTATAAATGGGAGGGATGGGAATTTTTAGATGGAAGGGATGGAAGAAGAAGGAAGAGATGAGATGTGTGAGAAACGAACCCATTGGAACAGGGAATGAGGAGCGGGAGCGGTGAGAATTCAGAGCTGGTCCAAGGCAGAAGCGTCAAGATTCCACGGTCAGGAGCGGAGCTGGGAATTTATGGTGTCGTAAATTTGCTACTTGACAAATTTTGGGTAATTCTGGGGGTTCTTCATTGGTACTTCCTGTAGATTTCCCTGGATTTTCAAAGGTGGTAGGAATAACACCACAGAGTTCCAGGATGGTTTGGGTTGGGAGAAACCTAAATCCCGTCTCGTTCCATCCCTGCCATGGTGGGGACACTCTAAATCCCGTCTCGTTCCATCCCTGCCATGGTGGGGACACTTTTCACTATCCCAGGTGTCTGCAGCCTGGCCTTGGACACTTCCAGGGATCCAGAGGCAGCCACAAATTCTCTGGGAATTCTATTCCATGGCCTCACCACCCTCACAGGGAGGAATTTCTTCCTATTTGGCATTTTCTCAGGGGGTTGGAAAGAGACGATCCTTAGGGTTTGTTCCATCCCAAACCCTTCTGTGATTCCTGAAACCTCCTGGATTTGATGTCTCTGGATCCCTGGAAGTGTCCAAGCCCAGGCTGGATGGGGTTTGGAGCACACTGGGATAGTGGGAGGTGTCGGGGCTGGAACTGGATGAGCTTTAAGGTCCCTTCCAACCCAAACCATTCCACGATTCCACGATTCCTTTAAAGGCAGGATCACCACCAGGGACAGGCCAAAGCCAAGGAGGCAGAACGAGGAAATCCCAAATTGTTCAGGGTCACAAAACCAGGAATAAAATCCCGGATACGCCAGTGGGGTGCTGCAGGGGAGGATGAAACAGCCGCAGGAGATGGAGCATCCTGCGGACTCCGTCCTCGGAAGGACTGGAATTCCAGAGAGGATTTGCCTTCTGCTGGGCAGGAATTCAGGTCTGAGGCAGAAGAGCCTCCAGTGGCATTTGCAGCAAAGGATGGAGGGATTTTCCATCCACTTGAGCATCTTTAAACCCCCTGAAGCTATGGATGTGAGACAGCAGATCCCAAAATCATCCCCGGCCTCTGGCTGCATCTAAGGCACTCCACAGGTGTAGCTCCAAGGCCTCGGAGGAGTGGACATGGGCTTGATAATTACACCAAATTTGGGCTGTTCTGTTGCTAATTAATGCTCCCAAGTGCCTGGAGAGGCAGAACTTTGTGAGAGCCTCAGCTCAGATGTGTCTCCAAGAGCGCCGGAAGCAAACCTGCGTCTGTCTTTGATCAAAGACCATCAACACCTCCCTCCTGCCTGGAATTCTCCACCCCAAAAACTCAGATCTTTGACTATTCATCGCTTCCTCGGGGCAGATCCTTTTCCAAGTTCAGCTTGTTGGGTTTTTTGGGTGCGTTTTCCCCTCCGTTTTACCAACGCCCCACACGGAAATAAAGCAAATAAAAACTGTCGACGCGCCAATAAAAGAAATGTCACTTCCCAGCCCTCGCCGGTGACGGTCCTGCTGGGAGAGGCAGAGCTGGAGCTGTCGGCTGCTGCAGCAGACATCAGCACTGATCATGTCCTTCTCTGCAGGAACCATCCCCGCAGGCTGCCAGAGCAAGAACACGTCTGGAGTTTATAGCGATGGCGCGTGTTTTCCTGCTCGCGGTTTAATCACCGTTTTATGTGCGGTTATAAGCCGGGCTTTTTTTCCCTCCCGCCTCTTTGATCTCTCTGCTGCTGGAAAAATCATTTCCAGCATTCCCTCGCTTCCCAGGTCACCATGCCGAGGGTTGAAGGAGTTTTGGTGGTGGTGGGGAGCCACGTGTTGGTGGCTTTGGGGTCCAGCTCCCTACGGATACAGGTCAACATCAGAAATCCTCCTCTGGATTTGGGTATGGATTGTCCTCGGTGGGAGTTGTCGCTGCAAAGGCTGCTCTTGTTATCCTGTTCTTGGAGGTTTTGCTGAGTTGGGATTGAATCCATGCAGGATTTCAGGCACCCGGTGCCTCCAAGTTGGGATTAATGAGATTTCTGAAATAAAGAGGTGGGAAATTCTGGGGCAGCTCCCATCACTGCGTTGTCCAGGAGAGAAGAATTCCCATGGAGCCAGGCTGGGAGAGCTTGGGGTGTTCACCTGGAGAAGAGAAACATCCAGAAAGATCTCAGAGACCCCTCCAGGGCCTAAAAGGGATCCAGGAGAGCTGGAGAGGGACTGGGGACAAGGGATGGAGGGACAGGACACAGGGAATGGCTTCCCACTGGGAAAGGTGAGATTTAGATGGGATTTTGGGAAGGAATCCTTCCCTGTGAGCGTGGGGAGGCCCTGGCTGAGATTTCCCAGAGAGGTTGTGGCCTCCTAATCCTTGGATATTTCGTGTTGGAAGGGACCTTGAAGCTCATCCAGTTCCAACCCTGAAACCTCCCACTATCCCAGGGTTGCTCCAAGCTCCATCCAGCCTGGCCTTGGACACCTCCAGGGATGTAGCATTGAATCCAGCAGGGTTCAGGATGATAAATTCCTGACAAGATCACCAAGGAACAGCCAAGGGAAGAGTGTAGGTGGCAGGAGAAGGGATGTGGATTCTTTCCCTCTCCACAGGGAAGGTCGGGAATGCTGGGTCCATTTCTGGGCTCCTCAGCACAAGAAACACGTGGATTTATGGAATAAATCCCGCACAGGGCCTCGGGAATAATCAAGGAATTGGAGAACACGATGTTCAGGGAGGTTCTGGAATCTCCATCCAATAAAATACCCAAAACTCTTGGACATGCCTGAGCTACTCCTTTAGCTGATCCTAACGGGAAGTTTGGATTAAACGATCTCCTTAATTTTTTTTCCCAAAATCACCCATTCAGCAATTCCGTTGATAGTTTGTGGATTGTTTTTTGAGCTGGATTTTTCTCAGCACGTATTGAGTCCCCTTTAAATACTCAATTTTCTTTCTTTGTGTGTTTTACAGGTATTTGAAGAAAGAAGAGCCCTGCTTGGGAAATGGGTAAACTTTTCTCTTTAAATATTTTAAAATAAAAATTTTAAAGCATTTGCTACAGGCAGATTTTGGAAGTTTATCTCATGGGAATGTAAAACTTCTCCTCTTTGGAAAAAGGGATTCGCTTCCCTGACGTGACTGCTCTGCTTTTGAGGAGGGCAAAGGTGTAAATTCCCTCAGTTCCCACATTCTATAAGTTTTGAAGCAGTGAAATCATATTCCATCTTTGGAATGAGCTGAAATGAGATGAAAAAAATCCAGGAAACGTCTGTAAAGTCTTGGATGCTCAGATGTTGCCATGGCCTGCTGGAGGGTCTTTAAAATCTGTAATAAATGACATTTTATCTACCAAGTGCACACACAGATCAGTTTGGGCTGGAACTGATTACTCTTTACGCTTATGAAGTCGCTCATGAAATGTTTTTTGCATCTCAGATGGTCTTTACAGGCAAATATTTTTATTTTAAGGATTATTTGTCTTTATAGGAAATAATCTTTCCATAATTTGTTGAGTTTTGATAATAAGGAATTTCAGGGACACCAAGGAAATGAAATAATTGAGTTGATTATGGTTCAAAAAGCAGCTTTTAGCAGAAAACATAAAACCCGCCTCTTAGAAATTGCTGGATGTCTTAAAAATGCCAAAATCTGGGCAGAACCTTCCTCCAACCAGTCTCACAATTGCTGAATCATCTCCAAAAGGTCACATCTCCAACCCTTCCTGTGACATTGGATCAGCAGCTCTCAGAAGGCTCCTTCAGAGCTCTCCTCGTGCTCCTGCCAGCCAGCATTCCAAGGAAAAAAAAGCACAAAAGCTGCTCTGAAGTCCCTACAAGGCCTGGGGTTGTGTGAGAGGAACCACGTGGAGAAATCTCAGTGCTCCAGGCAGGATTTTCCACCTTGGTTCCCATGACCTTCTCCAAGAGGGAAATGTGGGCTAAATGGAGCTGCTGGAGCTTGGATTTCATGGCTGTAAAGGATTTCTTCTGGAATTGGAAGGATGAAGCCTGTCCTAACTCCTGTCAGGCATTTTCAGGGATATCCAGATGATGGAACAGGAAGCAAATCCTCATTTAGTGGCTGGACTCGATGGTCGGAGAGCTTTGCCAACCCCGATGAATCCCCGATTCTGTCCGCAGATGACGCCAGGCTTGGAGCGTTTTCCAGAACTTTGGGGCTTGGAAGTCAGGCTGGAAAGATCAGCAGCCGGAAAAGGGCATGGGAAAAGTGCTGCATGAAAGAGTGACACCCAAAAACTTCACATCTGAGAGAATCCAAGGATGCAGCAGTTCTGCAGAAAAAAAAAAATTCCTGGGAATGAGGGTGGATCACAAACTGAATATAAACTGACAGCATCTTAAAATAAAGGGAAATATCCCAAAAGCAGAAACCATTCCTGGTTCTGCTCCCTCCATTTTGGAAATCCTGGGTTTGCGTTGCAGTTATGGAGACACAATTTAGACACGAGCAAAATCCAGTGCTGCAGATAATTCCCTGATGGAATAGCATGCCTGGGGGTTACAGGTGGAATCTGGAGACTTTTGAGGTTACACAAACACTGCCAGGAGTGGTTTAGGGAAAGCAGATCCTGCCTTGGGGCGGGAGGTGAACCAGATCAGTGTCCCTCAACTTTTTCCATGGAAGGAGCATCCAATCTCCTGGAAAAGCAGAACAGGAAACGCCTCATGTGGCCTTGCCACAGCGGTTTCCCTTTATTTGGTTTTCCAAATAAAGATTGAATTAAACTTGGGATGCTCACTGTTTGTTTAATTCTTCCTGATTTTACCTGCATGTATCCAGGGATTTACATTTTCATTTTGTTATTTTTTCCTGTTGGTGCCACAGGACACCTTTGATGCCCCCCAGCGTGTTGTGGTCCATAAAACAGAGGCTGAGAAAGGAGGAATGAGGTGACCTGAAGGGATTTAATTTCTGTTTCTGTGCACCTGACAGGAGGGCTCAGCCAGGTGGGATTTGGGCTTTGCTTCCAGGGAATAAAGGACAGGACAAGAAGGAACGGCCTCAAGCTGTGCCAGGGGAGGCTCAGGTTGGATATCAGCAGGAATTTCTCCATGGAAAGGGTGGTCAGGCATTGGAAGGCGCTGCCCAGGGAGGTTTGGAGTTTCCATCACTGGAGGTGTCCAAGCAAGGCCTGGACGTGGCGCTCAGAGCCCTGGGCTGGGGACAAGGCGGGGATCAGGCACAGCTGAGACTGGATGGTCTTGGAAATCTTTCCCAACTTAATGATTCTGGAATTCTGTGATTTAACCTCTTGCTTTTCCTTCTGTCACCTCTGTGTGGAACTCAGCCCTTCTAGGATGGTGGCCACCAACCACATTCTTAGGGCCACCTCTGCTCACGTTGCAATTAGCACAAGAACACCGCCCCTAATTTTGCTGATAATAATTGGTCTTTCCGTGGCAGGATTGTCCCTGGCCTGGTTTTCACTTTTAGCACTGTATCAAACAAATAATCCTGACAGGATTTATTATTATTTTAAACCTTTTACAGAGGAATCACAGAAATACTTGGGTTGGAAGGGACCTTAAAGCTCATATCATTCCACCTCCTGCCATGGGCATAACCTTCCATTATCCCAGGCCTCACTTCCAAGAGGAGATTCCCGGGAAGACTCTGAGGAAGGGAAAGTGGCCTGGTGACAAGAAGGAAAGGTTGCATTGTCACCTGCCATGGGGTCAGCTCCTGGGTGAAGGGCTTGGTGCTTTAAGGTCCTTCCAACCCAAGTCTTTCCACGATTCTCCTGTAAAACATCAGGTTTTTTGTGTAACTACAGAGGGAAAGGTGAAACCAAACAGATCCCAGAGGAAAGCTCCTAATAGCTGACAAGGAGATGCTTGGCAGCAGAGATATTTGGGATTTGGCTGGGTGGATTCAGGTATTTTACAGATATCAGGTGCCTTGTCTACTTCTCACCTTCCCACCCAGCTCCTGGGTCTCCAGCAAATCCTCTCTGCAGCACTGGGAGAGGAGGGCTGGGGCGGAAGGGGAAAATAGTTTTTCTTCTGGAGAATCCATTCCTGCTCTTGCCGAGCACGGGGATCCCAGCCTGGGCTGGAGATGAGGGTTGTTGTGTCCATCTGCAGTTGGAGGCAGCAAAACCAGCAGCGTCCTGCAGCACAGGGGCCTCTCCGGCTCTCCCTCCATGCCAGGCTTCGTTATTTGTGTGTGTGCACTGATGGATTAATTGCAAACCGATCCAGCACGGCCTGATGTCACACGATCCCCGCAGTGACATTGTTCTGGGGAAGGCCCCGGCGAGGGGAAAAGATGCGGGGAGAGGGAAGGAGAAGCCAGGGGAATCCAGTCCGACTGGTTGGGCTGCTGAAATCACATCCAAGGGGAGGACCTGTGGAGGAAGCAGCCAAATGTGGGATGGAAACCTGCTCCTTAATGCTGGAAAAGAGACAAATCCTGCCAATTTAACTCCTTGGCTGCTGCTGCTGCTGCTGGGTGTTCCCAGCGCTCCCGATGCTGCGGCACTGCTTTAAATGGAGTTTAAACACAGGCTGAGGGTGACATAAGGAATTCCCCTGCTGGGAAAGCCATGGCAGGGTGGGAAGGGTTAACAAGGAGCAGCTCTTCCCAGTCTGCTGGGAAGTGAAGCTGGATTTGTTTTGACTGGTTCACTTAATCTCTTGATGTGGAAGAGAGGGAGCCAGTTACTCTCTTGTCTCCGGAGCTCACACGGAAATTTATCAGCGCAAATTGGTGATGGGGGATTGTTTTAACGAGCAGAGGATGGGGCTGGGATCATGGATGGAGAGCAGAAGTTTTCCCCCTTCGTGTGACAGAGAAAACCTTTTACTGCAAGCCGAGTGTGAGAAGGGGACAGGCAAAACCTCTTCTGTGCCACTCTGGTACATCTTTGTCTGATTTTATTCTCACGGAACATTTCTAAGTCCTAAATCCCCAGGTTCTACTTCAGTTTTCCCTTAATACCCTGCTAAGCATCATTAGAATTGAAAGTTATATGAAAAAACAGGGATTAAAAAAAGGGGAATATTCCTTAATTCAGTGTGTCTGAAAAGACAGGGAGCTTTTTCTATTTGGCTTTTCATCTCTCCAGGATCTCAGGAATGCCAATCCCACACTTTCTTCACTCTGACCTTCTTGAAGGTCTTGCAGAAGTGTCTGTGAGAAAGAAAAGAGCTATTTGCTTCCTGGAGTTTATTCTCCAGCACTGGAATTCATCCAAGGGAAAATAAATAAATAAAGAAGGAGTTCTTCAAAACGATCAGGAAAGAAAATGTTTCTCAATTACCTTCATCTGCACAGTGCATTTTAAATTATTATCCTGCTAGCCCTCCATTTGAGCACAGATTTGGGGTGGGGAGGAAGCAGAGGAAAAAACCTAAAAATCTGCATTTCTAATCTATTTCATTCTGACAGGGAAAAGAAGGGAAACTGGACATGAAACCATTTATTTACCTCTTATAATAATAAAAAAAATACTCTAAGAAGATTTTTCCTTACTATTTTAATATTAAACATTTATATTTACATATTTATATTTATATTTATATTTATATTTATATTTATATTTATATTTTATATTTAATTTTTGGAGGTCACATTTAACAAAGGACTTAAATGTCCCTGAAGTTAAATGCAGACAAGGATTAAATGCAGAGACGTGACTTGCAGAGAGCAAGTTGGGAGCTGTGGAGAACAGTGGCCAGCCCTGAGAAGGAAACAAACTGGGAAAAGCAGCATTCCCAATGAGAGGAATTCCCCAAACAGCTCTGTTTCCCCTTTGAAAATTTTGAAAACCTTTTCATTTTCCTTACTCTCTGGGAAAAGGAGGTGAGTTTGGGTCAAGGCTGCTCTTGCTGTGCTGAGGAAGAATTTCATGAATTCCAGAGATTGGGTTTGAAGGGATTTTAAAGCTCATCCCATTCCAACCCCTGTCACAGCAGGGACACCTTCCACAATCCCAGGTTGCTCCAACCTGGCCTGGGACATTCTAGGTGTTATAAATGAAATTAGAATTTTGACAACTAGGTCCTTTGAGTTAACAGCAGATTAGTACAAGAATACAATTTAACAAAAAAATACAATTTATGTATATAATTTTCCATTAATTATGATTAAAGCATAAGCAAAACCGACTGGGGTACGGAAGGGGTTCCCCACCTTGCCTCACGTACAAAACAAAGCACTTCAAGCTAAGCTTATATACTGTCTGCTTATACATATTCATTAATGTTTCCTGTAAGTTTCCTCCTATTTCAGATTTTTTTGACTTTATGTCACTTTTCTTCACGGCGCATACCTTACTTGTTGCTAGGGGGTCTTCAGTTTTCTTTTGGGGGTCTTTTGGTGAAGGCTTCTCCTCTTCTTCGTTGTCCTTTAGATAACCTCACAGGTTTGCATGTGTGTACTAAGCATTGTGTTATGTAAGTCTACTAATTAGTCTTATATTTAATAATTTTTAGGCTCTATGCCTAAAGTCATTCTAATTTTGTCCATCTCAAGGCCGTTTTCGTCTTGGGACATCACTTCCAAATTACATCCTGTACCTCAATTTTAACATGTAATGTCTGCAAAGGGGTACATCTGCCTTGTAACACTGATTCTTTTGATTGCTTCTAATAATAACTTTCCAAATAGTTACAATTAAGTTAGCACTAATCAATTCCATTTATTACATAGGGATGGGGCAGCCACAGCTTCTCTGGGAATTCCTTTCCAGGGCTTCCCCATCCTCACAGGGAAGGATTTCTCCCTAATATCCCATCTAAATCTCTCCTCTGGGAGTTTAAAACCCTTCCCCTTGTCCTTTTACCACACACTCTGGTAGAAAGGATGAAGAAAAACACACATTCCCCCTCAGAAAAGCCCTCAGGGAGGAAGCACCCCCCCAACCATCCCACCCTGTGCCTGCTGCTCCCGCTATGAATTCCCGCTGCTCCTTCTACCATCCCAGGGCTTTTCCTGCTCCTTCCACCATCCCGGGGCTTTTCCCGCTCCTTCCACCATCCCAGGGCTTTTCCTGCCTGCTGGCACCTAGGCTTTGCAGGTTTTTAGGTTTGGAGCCAGGTGGCAGAGGCTTGTGGGCATGAGGCCGATCTCCTCCCAGGAGATGGCTGCTGACAGGGCCCTTCCCAACCCCGGCCTGCGCCACCTTCCCTCCCACCCCAGCTTGCTCAGCTCTGCAAAGCCATCCCTGCTGCCCTGAGTTCCTCCCACACGGATTCCATCCTCGTCTTGAGGTACCTGCCATAAACCGTGTTATAATCTTTGTGACTCCGCTGCCACCGCGGATTTTTCCCCCGCGAGGCGCCGGCAGCTCGGTTGGTTTCCCTCAGCTCCGCCTCTCGTGGTGGGCCAGTACAGTGGGACTGTGAGGAAAAATGACTTTACAAACCGTGAGGCGCTCTGAGATTGCAGTGGTGAGGGCCATGGAAGTGTCAGGGGAGAAGGAATCAGCAATGAATTCATCTTTGGGGCCTGCTCCTGTAAAAACCCATCTGAGTCTCCTCCTTTCCGTGAGGGAAGCCAAGTCCCGGAGCCGGTCTCAGGAGCGTGAGTGAGTCCTGGCCTAGGCTGCCCTGCATCCTTGGAGGGTTACAAATCATCCTGTGGCTTCAAAGTTCCTTTTCATGCATCCATTCCATTTGTTCCCAGCGCTCTTGCTCCCTCTGAGTGAGTCAGAAACTGCTGCTCGTGCAATTTCCCTCGCCTCGTTTTATTTCAAGACGCTGAATCTCCGGTTTCTCTGCACCTCAAACTCCCATTTTTAATTTTTTTTAATTTTTTTTTTTTTTTTCCCTTCCAGTTTGACAAGTGGACAGATGGCCAGAGGAGGAGGATCCTGGTGGACCTGCTGGAACGCTGCTCCCTGTCCCAGCAGAAATTCTGTGCCAAGCAGCTCGAGGCCCGAGTCCCCACCGAGGCCGTCGATTTTACCACCAGGCTCCCTCGAGTCCTGTCCTTGTACATCTTTTCCTTCCTGGACCCACGGAGCCTCTGCCGATGTGCACAGGTAAAAAAAAACCAGCACCTGCCTGGGGTTCAGAAAGCCAGGTCAAAGCAGTTTAAAAACAAAAAAAAATAAAGGAAAATACTGATTTTTTTGGTGAGGACAAAAGATCTTCTGACTTGGCATGCCAAATGCTTAGTGATGCTCGTTCCTCAGATCCTAAATTAAGCCAGATTGGCTAAGAATCATGGAAGTGAAGAGTAATTTTAAATACTCGGTTCTAAAGCATTTTAAAAGTGATATTTTCAAGGCTGATTATTCCTAGAAGGGAAGCCTGGTACTTCCTGAGAATCAGATTCCTCTGAAACACCTTGCACTATGTGCAGGGCCCTTAATTCTTTGAGAAATGTTGGCTTGTGCTTTTGCAAAGTACAACACTTGATCCTTTAAGGAAAACAGAACCTTTAAAATGCCTGAGAGTCAAATGTTGGATGTGGGGGAGCAGAAAATTACAGATGGGCTTTGGAGCAAAATGATTAAGACTCCAAAAATCTGTTTGCATGCCACAAAATGATGTGAAATGCTGCCCGAAGTGGTTTTAAATTAATAAGTTTCATTTTCAGTGACATTATTGCTGCACTAATAAAATATTCCATGTTATTTAAGATTATATAATAATCTCAGCTTGGCTAAGCCTTGCTTTAGTAACTTTCTCCAGCATTTCATGTGGATGCAACTCAAACTCTCCATGCTCAGGCAGGGAGACAATACGTTAGAAAATTACTTAGAATCACAGAATATCTTGAGTTGGGAGGGCCCCACATCATGAAGGACTTGAAAGGATTAAATGGTTTAATCAAAGGTTTAAATGGAGCATTAACAGCGCAGAAGAATTGAATTCGTTCAAGGATAGGTGGGAATTACATCCCTGGCACAGAAATCCAAAATCTGGGGTGTTTTAAACCCCAAGGTTTTCAGCTGGCTGGGAATTCACAGGTGAGCTGGCACTGGAAGTACCTGTCGGAGCTGGATCAGCTGTGGATGCTGAAGTGCCTGCGTTTCGGGTGGTTCATCAACTTCTGCCCCACGCCCTTCGAGCAGGGCGTCTGGAAAAAACACTACATCGAGATGGTGAGGGAGCTGCGCGTCTCCAGGCCCAAGGTACGGCCCCGCCTCGTGCCAGGAGTTTCACCTTTCCTCTTTCCCAGATTCTGCACTGGTGCGTGACTCTGAATTCCAGATTGAGTGTTAGCAAGTTCCCAGTTTAGTCAGAAAAAACAATCCCAGAACTGGGGACACAATCACAGCTTCAGGCCCCAAAAAAGTACAGACAGCAGCGAATTTATGGGAGCAAACTGAGAGGATGGGCCTTCATGAACAATAATAATATAATAATAATAATTGGACAGTTAACCCCAATATGGAAATGGGCCAAAACTTATGAAAGTATGGAAACTCATGACTCAGAGTCCATCTGAGGTAGAGGCACAGCCGGGCTCTTGTGCTGCCCAGGGTGTATCCTTTGAAGGCTTTTTTAATAAACACCTACTTTATTTCTCTAGCTCTGTCTAGTTTCTGTTCCTGGTAGCCTCTCCAGGCACCTCCTCCATGGGAGTTTGTCCCCACTGGGAAAACTGGGGGGTCTGGCTCCCAGCCCCTCTGCCTCTTGCTCTTTTTGGGATCCTCCTGCCCTGAATTCAAAGCTCAGCTCTTTAATTTAGAGCAGAGTCTCCCACAGGCTCTCTGTGGTTGATAGAGAGAAGCTGATGCATCTCAACAGCAACTCAGCTCATCTTAATATGGATTATAGGGTGGTGACAAGCACTGCCAGGGTGCCTCTTTCTGTCCACTGACCATAATGGAACCCGCAAAGACCAATTTTGAGTTAATCCCCAATTATTATAACTCTAAATTTAGCCCAATCTGATTCTCCTCATAGGCTAAAACTTATTTTCTTCTTTCCATCTCTCCAATTAGACACCTTCCAAGGACGAGTTCATCGTTATCGATGTGCAACCGGTAAAAAGCAGCATCCCAGAGAGGAAACTTTCCGTGGCAGGACAGGGGACAGCCAGGGGGAAAAAAGCTCTCCCTCCTTGGCGCTCATCCGACAGGAACCCCACGGACACCATCCGCTACAACTACCTGGACAACTACGACCCCATCGAGCAGGCCAGGCAGGCGTAAGAGCTTCTCCTCTTTTCCTGTCCCCCTGGCACAAGATTTCCCATGTCCTCTGCAGGCTCACACTGCTTTTTCTGGTTGCAAACCCGCTTTCCTGCTATTTTGGCTTTTTTTTTTGGAGGGGGGGGGGATCGGTTTTGGTCCAAAGCTGACATTGCTTTGTGTCATTTGTGCACGGCTCATCAGGCTGGAACTCCTGGGGGATGTTTCAGAGCTGGAACAGGAGAGGTTTTTTTTAAAATCAAGCTGCCAGGCTGAGAGGAATGTGTGGGTTTTGCAGGGCAGAGGAAGAATGAATGAATTGTGATGAAATATAATTCTATCGCTCCGAGGATCTCCTGGCTGACAGGAGGCTGGGATGATTGAATTGCAGGGCAGGTGTAAGAGGATGTCAGAGCATGGAGGTGATGAATGGTATTTGTGTCTGCACTGCCGGGATCCATCATTTCCTGGGCTCCCAGGATTATCCACATGGGAAAAAAAATTAAAAAAGGCATTTCCCTCCCAAAGCCGAGTTTTGCACATTGATCTGTGTTAGAACTGCCACTGGTTTTCCTTTGCCACCTCTGGCATCAGGGATTTTCCAAATCTTAGATCCAGGGTCAGTTTTCTGTGCATTAACAAGCCCAGGGAGGGTGTGGGAAGAGTTTTTTTTGTGTGAATCCTTGGAAGCGCCACCTCTGACGCTTCCCAGGGGTCACCTCAGCCCAGCTGCTGTGGAAAGGGTGATGCTGTCATTAACCCAAGCCTGGCAAAGAGGCAACAGATCCCCTTGTCCATTCCCTGGATCCTGTGGGAATCCACGGACTCGCCACGCCGAGCCTGCCTGGAGCAGGCGATTCCTCTCCGCCATGCCAACGAAAACCTTGGGAACCGCCAGAGCCACGACGGAAATCACCCGGGTTGCGTTTGAGTAAATATCCAGCAGAGACAAGATTATCCCTGCACCCTGGAACAATCAGCCCAGGAATTACCCTAGCCAGGGATTGTTTGGCCAAGCACTCTCAGAGCCCTTTCCCAGCGTGATTAACTCTGCCGGACCCACCGCTCCTCCGGGGTGTTCCACAGAGCTCCCTGAGCAAAAGCCTTTTATGAATCACGTTTTAATCCGCGTCCCCTGCTCCTTGGATACTGCACTACTTCAAAGAGCTTCCCAGTTTCCACCTCACCCTCTTTCTGTGGGATGTTTCCCAAACCCAACACCACTTTTGGGTTGTTGTTCTTTGAGGCTTTTAACTGAGCATTTTCACCAAACGCTTCCTGCTGCAAACGAACGTCCTGGTGTTATTTTCCAGCTGCGCTCAGTGGTTTTGTGTAGCAGCTCCCAGAGGTTTCTGTGAGGTTTAGGGTTCTCCTGTGCCATCCCTGTGAGGTTTAGGATTCTCCTGTGCCACCAAAAAAACGAGACAAGCTATATTTGAAGAGTTTAAAAGTGGCCTGTCCCAGCGCCGAGCTGTGGATGCGGCCGAGAACCAGGTGAAAACAATTCACCTGGAATAAAGAAACAGTAAATAATAAATCCACTCCCTGTTTGCCTCTCCCGAGCGAGATCCCAGCCTCTCTCCGTCTGTGGAGAACATTTTAATGCCGAGTGTTCCTGCAAATCTGCCATTTATCCGTAATTACAGAGGATTACGGAGAGGAGAGAGAGGAATTCTGTGAGATTCTCCAGTTTATCAAGGATCTGCCTTTAATATCTCTTAAGCTGCAGGTAATTGCTGGTGTTCAGGCTCATCTGTGCTGATTATTCAGCAGCGCAGGTGCCACGTTTCAGGTGCTGACCCAGCCTCCCACTCCCTCAACCGTGTTCTGGTGCTTCTTTTCCACAGACACTTGGCTGTCCCTTCCCAAAAACCCTCCTGCTGAGGCTCTGTGTTGTGTTCTCCACCTTTTGGGAACGGGAATTCAGCTCTTCAGCTGGATCCCTGGAGCAGGGGGACACCTCAGTCCCTCAGGTTTTGGTGGGGGTGGCAGGAGAACGTCACCGTGGTCCTGGTGTCCCTCTGGGATGCCAAGCCTTGGTTTGGAGTCTCCCAGGACTCCAAACCTGACCAGGGCTCAGCTTGGAAGGCAGAAGAGAATCCCAAGATAAAAATCTCCCGCCCCGCCGGCGATTTCAGGTTCTCCTTCAGATGAGCCGGATTCCCGGAGCTCAAGGGCAAAACAACCTCTCCTCATGTAAAATGGATGTCAGGAGGAACGAGATCCGTGTAAAACGAGATCCTGAAACAATAGGAGCGATTTCCCGGGGTTTGCTGAAGGGGATCTGGGAGGGGAAATGGTTTTTGCTGCAGTCTGAGGAAAGGACCCGGGGTGAGGCATTCCTTGAGGACACGAACATGTGGGAGAAGACACGGCAGAACTCGCAGAAGCTCCAAGTGATGGTGGAGAGAAAAGGACTGGAGGGAGCTCTTCTGGCCCAGCACCTTGACTGGGAAACTGGAAATCCCTGAGCCAACAAAGCCTTTTTTTTTTTTCCCCACTTGAGTGCGGAGGAAAACCGGAGCTGTGGAGAATTCCTTGTGAATAAACAGGATCAGATCAAAGGAATACCTGACGCCACCATCAAAGCAGCGTGTGAGACGAGTCACCGGCTGCTACCTTGACTCCAAGTTAATCTCCCTAATTTCAGGTTGGATTTTGCAGAATTTAAGAGGCAATCAACCAAAAACAAGTTTTTCCTAATTCTTGGGCCAGGTTAAAACCTCCTCAGAGCTCGACCTCGCTCTGCAGTTCTTTTCTGGTCCAAAGGGAGGGGAGGACTCTGCTGTTCATCGCACCAAGGTGAAATATTGACATTTAAATGGCAGAGTTCATGGAATTCCTGAACAGTTTGGGTGGAAAGAGATGTTAAAACTCATCCAGTTCCAACCCTGACACCTCCCACTATCCCAGGTTGCTCCAAGCCCCATCCAACCTGGCCTTGGACACTTCCAGGGATCCAGGGGCAGCCACAGCTTCTCTGGGAATTCCAGCCCAGGAACTCTCCACCCTCACAGGGAAGGATATTTTCCCCTAATATTTAATCTAAATCTCTCCTCTTTTAGTTTAAAACTGCTCATGGAAAAAGCCACTTCTTGTCATCTGTGATGCTGAAGAGTTTTCATCAGTTTCTTGGTCGCCCTTTTGAGTCATCAGCCGCCTTCTCCCTTCCACAGCAGCACCAAAACAGCACTGCTGAGAATTCCTAGCAGAGAACTCATCCTTGCTTAGCCAGAAAAAAGGAAATACGGGAAGCAGAACGAGCTACAGTCAATTCTCAGGCAGTGCAGTGGGGATGGAGTCCTCTAAGTGGAAAAACCAAACATATTCTGCATCCTGTGAGACCATAATTGGCTCTTTGGCTTTGAGAAACAGATCAATACATTTCCAGACAGCAGCTGGATGAGGCCAATGCTCACTGGGGAGAACAATTAAACTGCGCCACAGCCGGGGAGTGCCCAAAAAACGGGGTTTGTTTGCAATCTGGATGATCACTGAAACTTATTTTTTTTTGTTTCTGCTGGATTTCTTTGTTCTCTGCTCAGAAAGGCAGGAGTTTGTACCCTAAAAACTGTGCCCAGGAGCTCAGTGCAAACCCCCCTGGCAGCGTGAAGGGGATGGGACAGAGATCCCACAGTCAATTCCCTGGGAGGCTTTGGGTTTAGTTGGAACAGTGTGGGAAAAGCGTCTCAGTCACTGAGCAGGGAAATTAAGAATAGCAACGATCAGATGTGCAGCCAAGGGAGTGGTGAGGTGATAGGGAAGAGATACAGACAGGGCTGAGTTACAAATTGCCTGGAAGGGCTTATCAAAACCCCTCAATAGAATTATAGCTGTGACTATCGGTGTTGTAATTTATCACAGCGATAAATCGCAAAAATCACTAAATTCTGGTAGGTCTGGTTTGTTTTCTGCCTGAATTGTCCAAGCAGCTTTTTGTTATTAGACTAAAAAAAGAATCAAAACAAACAACAACCCTCCAGAGATAATCAAGGAAGGATTTGCCTCTCTGGGCACAAAGAAATATTGCAAAGGGGAAGTGAAAGATTTTTATCTAAAGCGTGGAGTCGAGTTAGGAGATTTTTCTGTGGGGCTCTGATCTGCCTACAGAGGCCCGGGAGGGCGTTTCTCTCGGGCCCTGTGTGCGCAGTTCTGCTGGAAGGCATCTGCTGGTTGCCAATAAATCAAAAGATTTGCCTCCCACTCCATGGTGAATAATGAATTCCGATTCCATCCGAGCGCTGGAGCCCTGCCAAGAGCGCGGCCTCGCGCCTCAAGACAGGGCCCTGCTACTTCTCACGACAACAGCTCTGGCTCCTTCCCCCCATCCCCAGCCTTGGGTAATTTATGTAATTTATGGCCATGGGCTGGCTCTAAAAAACAGTTGCATATTGTCCCGGAGTGTTTACCCGACGAGGAAATAATTACTTTCAGTAATTGTTCTGCCAGCGGCCCAGGCCGCGTTTCTGACAAAGAGGGGCTCGCTTGCGTGAGAAGGGCTCGGAGCGGCCCCATCCTCCCGGATCTCCACGCTCCCCTCTCCCTTTTGGGGCTGCTGAAAAGCCAGCCCAGCTCCCCCCGGGCGTGTGGGAATCAGAAAAATCCCCTGAAGGAGGAAAACGGGGTGAGAAACGGCGACTTCAGCACTGGGGGTGAGACCTGCCGTCCTTTTTCCTCGTCCTCTCTCCTTCTGTTTTCCTGACCCGGAGCTGGGGTTGTGGGGGTGAACTGACACCACGATTTGGACACCAGAACACAGCAGCAGATACCAAAATTTACAGTAATAATTTACAGTAATATTTTACAGTACTATTTTACAGTATTATTTTACAGTAATATTTTACAGTAATATTTTACAATAATATTTACAGTCACAATATTTACAGTTACTGCCTCCTGCCCAAAGGTCACAGCATCATTCAGGATGGAAAACACCTTTAAGATCACCGAGTCCAACCATAACCTGGACACTGCCAGGTCCAGCAAAATGACTGATTCATTCCCAGCTGGAATATTTTGGGTTGGAATTTTCTCCCTTGGCTTGTTGGTGTTTATGAACAGGTTGCGGTTTTCCTCAATTTCCGATTTGAAATAATGCTGGATTTGACTTTACGATCCTGGCTTGGGATGAGGGAATCCTGGACACGTGCTGGTGCTGTGTGTGGTGTGATCCTGGTTTTTTATGGGATAAAAGCTGCTTTTAGAGTCCAGATCCACCCTTTATCTCCATGGTTTTGTATTCCTGCTGTGCTTTTTTAGCTGCCCAGAGACACTGGGAGAACCACTCAGAGCTTCTGTCTAAAATTCCCAGATTCCATATCGCGGGATTTGAATGTGGAATGAACGCCTTGGGATAATGAACCTGCCTGAGTGCTTAGAAATAAACTGCCTCAGAGTCTGGATTTTACTCCTGATATAGGAATAAAAAAAAAAAAAAGTGGCAACCGGCCACATTCCAGCGCAATTCACTTAATTTTCACACTCTGGAATGTTCCCATTCTGCCAGTTAATTGTGTTGGGTTTAATAGCAGCTGCACGCAATACCAAAAATATGGAAATACAGGTATGGAACGATTTGGCTACAAAAACACTGAATAAAAACCTTGCTGGAGGGGCGGCCCCCAGCCTTTTTTACACTTCAGGCCACACAGACTTCACTGAAAACTCCCAGATGGATTCAGCTCGACTTCTTTTCTGTGTATTTCCCTAAGGAGCTGTGACATCTTAGGCGGACTTAGCTCAAATCAAGAATTTATCACAACTTTGAAAAAAAACATTAAAAAATCAAGTTCCCACCTTCCCCTGGTAGCCAACTGTGCTCTTTGGGGCAAGATAAAAATGTTTTATCGCGAACCACAATTTTCAGGTGGCAATATCCCAAAGGATTTGATTTTTATCAGTGCAGCAAGTGCAGGGCATTTATTATCAATAAATTAAATACATTCATAATCAGTCATTACCGATAAATGAAATACATTTATTGATATCCTTGTGTTCTGCTCTGCAGCAGGAGGAAGGGAGGAGGGCACACCCCGGACCTGAGCCGGCAGGCGGCTGAGAGGAAGAGGAGAGGAGGTCGTGGATCCGCTCAGCTCCGGAAGGTGAAATCCCTGGCAAGTGTCACCAGCGTGTGATTCCAGCACCTGGGGCGGTGTCAGGCACCCCCAGGGATGTTTGAGCTCCGAGTTTTTCCCTCAGGTTAGGGTTAGTGGAGGATAACTGCCCAGTTATCCTCCTGCCCAGGGAGGACACCTGGGCAGGAGGAGGACGCAAAGCCCCCCGTGGCATCCCAGACATCGCTGAGAGTGGGAAAGGGACAGTACTGTCAGTGCAGAGAGTGACCCTGTTATTTATCTGCTCCTCCCTCTCCTTGCTATCCCAAAAACCCCTTTCCATCCTTTTTATAAAGTGCTGCCACACTTCTTTTATGACTTTTATCCCCAAATTCCACAGCTCTGGGTGGCCGCGGTTTGATGTCCGCTCATTCTCCGTGCCCTGAGCCCCAGCGAAACAGCCCCAAATCTTAACACTGAGGGCTCTTTGTGCTCAGGGCTGCTAAAATGGAGCATCCTCCCATGAAAGGAGCCCAGGGAAGTCATTCCAGAACGCTCCATGGGTTTTGTGGCTCTGGAGACAAATAACCGCCGGGAGCAGGCCGTGCCGACGAGCGTGTCGGGGTTCTGGGAGCGGCCCTGGTGTTCCCTGAGCCACGGCAGGCGGGCTGAAAAAGGGTTACAAAAAAAGAGAGGCATTGTCTCCCAGATGGGGAGGCATCCTCCTGACCCAAATACAGCCTCGCGTGCGAGGAAATTGATTCTGGCACTGTTGGAGGGCAGAAAATATCGTTATTTAATATCATTATTCAGCCTCTGGCTTACAGTTTGCACTCTCTGGGGATCGGCGTCCTCACGAGGGTTCAGCCCGCCACCACTTCCCAATTTCGAGTTGTTTCATTGCCAGGCCAGAAGTGAAGTTTTTAATCTCAGCTCAGAGTGAAAAATAAGTGAATTTGGTTTTCTTTCCCTGGGTTTTAGGAAAGTTGTATGAATTCTGAAGTTAATTAGCCCGCAACCCCAATCAGCGTTTAAGTGATAAAAAAATGGGAGACTCACGGAATTGTTGAAGTTGGAAAAGATCTTGAAGATCATCAGGTCCAACCATTCCCAGCACTGCCAAGGCCAGCACCGATCCACGTCCCCAAGTGTCACTTACACAGGGATTTTTAGTCTCTCCAGGGATGGGGACTCCATTTTGCCAGCCATAAATGAGCATAGCTCTAAAAACAATAAAACCGAGGTTAAACCAGGCTGATACCTAAGAAAAAAATTTTAAAAAAATAAAAATATAATTAATTCTCTAGGAATAACCCGAAATTAATTTCCATTCCTTATTAAAGGTAGCATTTGGAAACCTGGTTGAAATGAAAGACCTTTGAAAAGGCTCCTATTTAATCAAGTCTAAATAAAGAGGTTTAATGTGCAAATCTTTCAGCAAATCCTTACAAGAGGAATAGCCCGGGATGAAAGAATAAAAGCCCAAGGCGAGCAAACACCGAGTCAAATTAAAACAAAACCCTCAAACAGATCAATGGTCCAAGTGCAGAGTGTAGGTGAGAATAAAGAATATTACAGCCAACAATGAAGATGTTAAAAAGGGGTTATTAGATGGAGCTCCCAGCTCAGCCAAATTAAGAATAAACACCTAATTAAGGGGGCATCCACTGGCTCCGTGGTGAACGAGAAAACCTGGGAGGGTTTGGAGTTTGTTGCTAATCATGGAAAGCAGAAAATGTGACCAGGCTCGCTCTTCGTTTGGAATAAATTAAAGTCAATTGGCCCAATTAGAATAAATAGTAAATTAGAGTGAATGAAGTTAATTAGGTTTTGAATGGAGGGCCACATTCTGCCACGTGGAACCCCCATGTCTGTGCAGGGGGCAGGGAATTCCTTCCCTCTCTTTTTTCCAGGGAAAGGCTTCAAGGACACTCCAAGGATGCCTCTCTGACCAGGAGCTGTGATTTCTGAGCCCAGCGCCCTTCCCATGAGTCCTTCCCACCAAATTCCCAAATATTTTTACGGGGAAGGTAAAACTGGGTGGGTCAACATCAGCAAGGAGGGGCTGGGTCTGCCTTTGTCTGCTCCAGACACTGCCCCACCCTCACAGCTGCTCCCAAATTATTTTTAGTCCTCTAAAAATTATTTTTAGTCCTTAAATAACATCTTGTTGACAGGATCAGTCGTCCCCTGCCCCTAAGGTAATGAGATTGCAGGATCTGAAGGCAGGAGTGCATTTTTTTCCACAGCATTTTGGCAGGGAATTGATTTTCTGAGTCAAAATCCCATTTCCAGGGGGTGGGAATAGCCGACAGGAAAATCCAGAATTCCCAGCACATGGTCCTGTGCAACGTATATTTATATTCTACAAACATTACTTGGAATTTTCTTTATTAGATGTGATAATGTTTGTTCTCTATTCTTAACAAAAAATTCAGATCAGTCAAAAAAAAAACCCCAAAAATTCCAAGCTGTTCTTTTCCAGAATTTTTATTTTTATTTTATTTTTTGGCATCTTTATCAAGGAATAAACTGGGTTGTTAAGAATTTTGTTTTTGCTTAATTTTTGTAAAATAAAAGTTAAAATAAACTTCAACCTTTACAGTTTTGAGTCTTCAAACACTGAGCAAGACAGGGGACATGCACAGGGGAGAATTTGGACACTAATTTTATTTGTTTATTTATTTTAATTTAATTTAAATTTATTAATTAGTATTTATTTGGGCATATTAATTGGTGTGGAGAATTAATTAATGTGGGCACCAATTTCTAATTGGGTCCTTCTGTCCTTGAGGCAGATTTGCACCACAGCACAATTCAAATCAAGCAGATTATGGCTGCAGTTTTTAGGAATCTCATTAAGGGATATAATTTGGGAATAAATTATTGATTATAGAATCAATATTTATCGATAGTATTCCACAGAATTGATAGAATAGAATTTGGGAATAAAATATATGGAATGCATAAGTTTTATTATTATATTATTAAATTTATTTATAAATAAATAAGTGGATTCCAATGTTTATAGTCCCTCTGAAGCTGCTGGGATGATGATCTCTTCTTTCTCTTCTCTTCTCTTCTCTTCTCTTCTCTTCTCTTCTCTTCTCTTCTCTTCTCTTCTCTTCTCTTCTCTTCTCTTCTCTTCTCTTCTCTTCTCTTCTCTTCCCGCACCTTCCCTTCTCTTCTCTTCTCTTCTCTTCTCTTCTCTTCTCTTCTCTTCTCTTCTCTTCTCTTCTCTTCTCTTCTCTTCTCTTCTCTTCTCTTCTCTTCTCTTCTCTTCTCTTCTCTTCTCTTCTCTTCTCTTCTCTTCTCTTCTCTTCTCTTCTCTTCTCTTCTCTTCTCTTC